TTAGCAGGCTTACAATTCACGTACAATTCTTCACACCTCTCGCCGCCTCCTGTCAGGAGGATTTCAGACGGGGAAAGAAAGAGGGTGGGAGGGGGGTGAACCGGGAATCCTCTTTTCAGGCGAACCAATTCTGCAGTCCCTAACAGAATGACAGACAGAGCAGAGAAAGAGATTACTAATACATGCCAGACAAGGTGCTGATACTGCAGAGCGTTAATCTTTAACAGATTGGGGCCACCCCCCACCCCCCCCGGTGTGCTCTGTGTCTGGCTTTTCATCTGTGTGGTGTCTGTTATTGCGTGCATCCCCTTGTTACTCAGTTCCTGTGCACATTCTGAGTGAAGGTCAGTCAACTCTGGGGCGGTATGTCTGTTCAGTTAGCAGCGAGGTTAAACCTCGATGAACTGCAGGGTCGCCGGCTTCTTAGAAACATCGTCCTTCAACCGGACGGCCGACATTCATGTCGTCCTCTCGGCGAGTTTCCACCCCGCGGAAACGTCCTTGAGGAAGATGTTGAGCACGACGCGACACGTGTTCAGTGGTGCGGTCGAACCTTGAGAAGCAGAAAGAGGAATTTTCTGTGTGAATGGTGAATCATTGTGTGTTTGTCAATCACCATTTAGGATTACCAAGAGTGTGGTATATGTTCAAGGTGTTTTCAAGGTCAGGGAAGTGCTGTCATTGGACAAACATTTATAAAGTAATGGTTGTAACATGCACACAGGTTACAAAAGACCACTGTTACTCATGTGAGTAGGATTGCAGCTAACTGTTCCTTTACCTATTCATTAACCTACAAATCGTTTAAGAGTTCAAGGTTATTGCTTGTTTTATTTGAGCTGCAGTCCAAAACCCTGTTGGGAAAGAAATATATAAACTGTCTTTTGTGGCAAAGAAAGTCAAGTCCTCGTGTTTGAAGCTGAAGTCTTCAATACGTAGAAAAGAAATAAACCTTAATCATTCTCTGAAACGGCCAAGTCATACAGAGATCTCCAAGTATTATATATAAGAAGTTAGCTGAGTAAACTAAACTTAATCTAAATGAAAATAACAAGTGTTGTGGCTACGTTGGCGTCCTTACCAGTGATTGGTTTCAAAACATCCTTTTTCAGGAAGGTCACAAGTTCAGAGATTACATCGGCAGTCGTGTCCCTACAGAGTATTTACATTTTTGAGATTTCTCCAGAGGCTCAGGAATTTCAACTATGTAAAAGTTAAAGCTCTTCGTGGTCCCTGAAGAGAAGAGACTGCACGTCGGCTGAAGAAGCCGAGGCGCTGGTGTCCCTTTAGGTCTGACCAAGGTTTAAAAGACGTTAAAGGATTGAGAAGCTGATTGCGAGTCGGTTATCTAGCGTTGATCCACCCTGGGCTCTGTCCCACCAGAAGGCTTGTTGAATTATCTAGATCCCCACTTTACAAATCTTGGTGTCGGCTCTTGATGTCAAATCCTCTCCAGTGATGCAGACATGCCAGAGTCGGTATCCACTGAGGCCAAGTTTTAAAAGATATCAACAGTAGTCTTCTTTCGGTGTCTCTTAACAAGTGAGCAGTTAATAAACAATGATTTTACATGGTTTAGTGTCTAGATGAATTTGTAATTAATACTAATGGATTGTTGATTGATTTTTAAGCCAGTGTGTTATGGTACTGTAGTTAATCCTGCGCGGTTGATTGAAGGAAGTGGTTCAAAGTGACGACCAGAAAGACGAGGGGTGAACACGACTGAGCAGTTTGTGAACCTGTTGTAATGCAGAATATAAACATGCACCAGAGAGAGAGATGGAAGTGGAGTCAGGGACAGGAAGTACGTTTGTCTGCAGATCATAGGAGATGAAGAAGGGAGATAAAAGTGGATAGAGAATCAGTGTGTGTGTGTGTGTGTGTGTGTGTGTGAGAATATGTGGGGGCATAGGTGCATGAAGAAACAAGAGAGCGCAGATAGAAGGTAGCAAGCTGGGCTAGATGTCATCTCCTTCTCCACCTCCCTCCTTTGCTTCCTCTGCGTGGTCTGACCTCCTGCTTTCTCTCTCTCTCTCTTGCGCACACACAAACACAGAGGCAGTAACTCACAGTCAGGTGTGCAGGTGCTTACTTTCTGGCACAGCTGACAAAACTAACTCGCAGAAACAGCCACCGCGTTAAAGAAAATTGATAAATTGCTGCCTCTGTGTATTGAATTGCGTCCCTGTGTGCTCACCCAGCATCACACTTTCTCCTCGCCCACCGGGTCATGGTTTCCCCGGCGCTCACACTGCCCCCTCGGTACCAGGAAGTCTCTGGTCTATTGTGGTTCATTCAAAGGCCGCAGAGGTCAACACACGAGCAGTGACAATGGTCCTCAGATTAGACGTGGACAGAGAAGGTCACTGTTGGGAATGAGATCACATTTACTCAGCGGTCACTCCTAACATGTGTGTGTGTGTGTGTTTCTGTTAGTCACACTGATGATTTCTTGTCCAAGGCAGCAACGACCCATTGGAGTGTGATGAGGAGATGTAACGGAGAGGAGAGGGATTATATTTTATTCTGACCAAATAATCAGACACGTCTGAAAGTGATTTGTCGTGTTTGGACCCAGGTGAAGGGGAGAATCCCATTTCTTTCTAAAAACCTCATCAACTCTTTCTGAAATGTCACAACAACAGGAAAAATGTCTCCTCTATACAGTCCTGCCTTTAAAAAAAGAAACTAGCATTATAAGATAATAACGCAGCTCTCTAATGCACAATGAGGTGTTCGGTCAGATTGCAGTTAAGAACCGTCAGACTGAAACATGTGTATTTTTCCAACTGTGGTCAAAATAATTGCTCAGGGTCTGAAGAAGAAAAAAATAAATAACCCTCATCCTCAGACCTGTTTCTGGTGAAGACGACTTCAGGAAACAGAGCAGAGATAAATCCAGGCTGGCGGAGGCTTGTTGAGTGTGTGTGGATCCTTACAAATTGTCTGGATGAAGAGACACTCATGCCTCTCATATCTCATTATTTCTTTTGGTTTGTCTCTCCCTTACTCCTCTCCCCTCTATTCTTAGCCACTCGTCCTTTTTTATCTGCTTTTCCTTTCCTCTCGCTCTCATAAATCCTTCATCGTTCTCTTTTAGTCCCATTTCTCTCTCTCTTTTCCCTCACCCTCCTTTTTTTTAAACATTTTTTTACTGTGCCATATGTTTCCCTCAATTGCGTCGCCTTCCCCTTCTCTCCCTGGTCTGGGATCACTGGCATCTAATGCTTTCCTCTCTGCCTGATTAAGTCAGCACATGTACCCTTTACATTATCACTCCCATACATACATACACACTAATGCCAGCGTGTCCCCGCAGACCTAATCAGGCCGTCTCTTAGTTCTCTGCATACACCCCTCCAGACCTAATGAAAAAACATGAGGCCGGTTGAAATGAAGACGAGATGGACAGGCGGAGAAAAAAGAGAAAAGGTAGCGGCAGAAATGAAAGACACGGAGTGGTGAGATTGAAAATAGAACGCCAGCGAGGCAGCTGATTCATTAACAGAAGCCATCAGTCGCTCCTAATGCATGTTTCCAGTTCAGCGACATTAATTGTTTCTAATCAGTGTTAATAATATCATGCAAGGATGCAGTGGGAGGCAAAAGAGTCGCAGAGAGAGACGAGGCGAGGTTAGCAGTCAGAGCAGGGACTCATCCAACGTGCTGATGCCTTCATACGGCTGGAACATTTCCCAACAGACATGAGAGCGTGTGATTTATGCTGCTGCCACTCGCCATGTCGCAAAACTGCAATTCAGAGTGTTAGCAGCTAAACGTTGTTCTGGTGGACTGTCAGCCACACGGCTAAATGGATGTATTGTGCTGTAATGTGCTGTACATTACTCCACACTCCTTTTGTATTGATGAAGTGGCCTAAAGCTTTGTGTGTGTGTCCGCAAGTGTTTGATGGAGATAATGTGCATTATTGAATGAGCGTGTGCACATGCTCATGCAGGCGTGTGCACCTGATTATGATGATGAAGTCTCCCGACGGGACTCTCCCCGCTACAGTCCTCCAACAGTCTAATGAGAAGCTGTTTCCGTAGTTACCAGGTGTGGGAGCCGGCAACTCGTAACGTCCTGTGGCGAAGAACAAAGAATGGGGAGATGAGCTAGAGAGAGAGAGAGACAGACAGAAAGAAAGAGAGAGAGAGAGCAGGGGCAGAAGTGAAAGACGAAGGGGTTTAAAGAGATGGAGGGCTCTAGAGAAATACAACAGAAAAAGATAAAGAGCCTGATATCTGGTGTGAATGATCAATTTAGCCGTGTGTGTATTGATGTTTGTGCTGGAGAGGATCCCTGTGTGTGTTACATGTTGAGACTGAAGACACTGGATCTTTACAGTCAGATGCAGGAGCTGAACAAGAATCCATTCAAATCAATCTCAACTAAAGTGGAGAGGAGAGGTGTTAGCATCTGGTCCGATCCCATCAGGCAGCGCCAATATTAAGTTCACTTGTAGTGAATTAAAGAGGTTTTCTAGATAGTGCTTTTACATTGATTGCTCAGTAAGATCTAGTGTTTTAATTGTACTAAAAAAAGTCTCCTGTTGTCTCTGAAATAGATTTTTCTGGTTGAATTTATGTTTAGGGTTTCTAATGTGTATATATACATTTAGTCCCGTCTTTGTTTGGTACATTAACAGGTTTATTAAGTGCCCACAAGTGTATTTTACTTATTCAGTAATAAATTCAATTCACTATTACATTTCTTACCTCATGGGCTGTGTGGAGGTTTGGGGGAGAGGAGCTCGTTTTAACTTTTATATACAGAAAAACCTTATTTAACACAAGAGGAAAGAAACACTGAAACTCCATCAAGTCTCCTAATAAAAATTCAGCCGAGGTGTGTGTGTGTGTGCTGTGTTGGTCTGTCCTTGGTAAACCTGTGTGTCTGCGTTGTTCTGTGAAAAAAGCTATTAACTGTTGTTGTCGATCAGGGCTGTCAAACTTTGTAAAAAGTTTTTTCTCATCACTTCTCTTTGTTTTCTCGGCCAGATCTGATCCACTGCACCAATGAGATGAACGTGAGCATTCCCCAGCTGGCGGACACGCTCTTTGAGCGCACAGCCAACTCCAGCTGGGTGGTAGTCTTCAAAGCCCTTATCACCACCCACCACCTCATGATGTACGGCAACGAGGTAGGAGGCTACCACACACACAACCACACACAGACAGACACACACACAGGCACAAAGCCCTCCAGGGCAGTGAATGAAGACTGCATCAATAAGTTACTTTAGTACTCGGTCTCCCAAATACATGTATAAATTCAAATATTAAGATTTTTAAATCGACATCAGCACAAGGGTTAAGAGTAAAAGCGGGTGTGTGCAGCCTCTGACCACATTCACATTGGACACGTGCAGTGAATAATCGAAAAAGCTTTGCAGCACAGAGAAATTAATTAGCTCAGTACGAGCTGGAAGCAAGAAAAGACGGGGCACAAGGACGGAAGCAAATGAATGATCAAACAAATGAACTTCATAAAAAAAAAGAGGGTCTAAAACTAGAAGAATAACACGGTCCCCTCTATGGATTTGCAGCCGTTCAAAGACAATAATTGGAAATTGAGATTCAAACTCTCCCCGCTGTGTTTGCGAGAGCTTTTGGATTTTTATTAATTGTGAGTTTTGCCATGCGTCCCACTGTTTTTCACGAGAAGAGGTCTGATAGAACCACTTGTCTGCAAAACGTCTCAATTTGCATGCAACAGTTCAGTGGATGCTTTGAAAATGAGAGGAGAGATCAGTTCAGAGAGCGATAAGGTAATTCACAGGAATAGTTTAACATATTGGAAAATGAGCTTATTTGCTTCTTGCACAGAGTTGAACAAGAAGATTGATGCAACTTTTCACGTCTGCACAAAAAATCCAGGAGCTGGTTTTGCTAGCTGGTGTTTTACTTCTCTTTTCAGTCTTCGTACTAAGTTTCTGACTCCTGAACAAGATCTATTCTCATGTAGCTCTAAGAATAAAGTGATTTAGTTTATTTCCCAAAATGTTAATATATTCCCTTTGAAAAAAAAACGCCACTGAAACTATCTCCACTGTAAATGATGTACTTATACGTATTCTTGCCTGAAAATACTAAAGTACTCTTGTACATACACACTATAATCAAACACACCCAAAAGCTGACACACCCTGAGCCGCATTCCTTTTCATTTCCTTTGAAATGGGGAAGCATTACTTCCCTTGAAGTGTGGATCACTTGTGTCCACATTACACAACACTTCCTTCTGTTGGGTCAGAGTTTCTTGCATTAGACTAAACTTCCTCAGAAGAGACGAAAGCGTGTGAAATGACTTTGTGTTTATGTGCGACCTGACTGATTTCACTACAGCTCAGAGACCTCCGCTGACGTGCTGGCTCGCCACGTTAAAGAAATTGAGAAGCTTTAGCATAATCAGGTTAATAATCCTGGGGTTTATATTTTATACCACTACTAATAATTCCAGTGCAGTGGACATTTAACATTCAGTGTTTTATTTTGATTTAAAGCTCCATGTTTAAACATCAACATGCTGCTCTTTAGTGTTTTAATGGAAACCACGAAGAAGACGGTACAGAAAGAGCTCATACAAACGTGTTTCCTGTGTTTCCAGTCGTGCGTCTCCAGGATGTAGTAGAACAACTGTGTGTGCTCATCAGCCTGCATTCATCAGGCCTGTCAGGACAGCGGTGCTGACTGAGGCTCGGTGGCCAGGTGTCCCCGCTCCCTCACGGCCGCCCCATCCATTATAGTCCGAGCTGAGAGAAATCTGGCCGTAAAATTAGAAACCACAGACCCACAGAATTGGGGTCAATAGACTGTACATTCCTTTTCAGATCAACACACCGAGTGGTTGCAGCTTGGCCGGCTCACTGAAGATGGCCTGGTGCACTGTCTGCTGATCGTAAAGAACATTTTCATCCAGTTAAATGAGACGAGCTGCGTGTTCGCCACCTCCTCGACATGAGCGGCAGTGACCGATGGACGAGATTTTTGAAAGGAAATAGTGTTGACATAGTCGAGTCAGAAAGGTGATGCGTGTCATATTCCATCAGTGTCGCCCACTTGAGACGAGACGTCATTTTCTCAGATCACGCTGGCTTCAAGCTCCACTCAACCTGAAAACCCCAACAGGATGAAATGAACGCCTCTTTCAAAATACATTTTTCTTTACATCAAATCTCAAACTTTACAGGTTTTAAATTACTCGCTGTGCTCCAGAGAAATCAAATCATCCAAAGACATTTGATGATCTCGCAATATTTACCTCAGCGGATTTCCGGACTGAAGCTAGCTTACCTGATTTAACAGCGTGAATAAATACATGCGGAGGACACCAGTCGAGGAGGCGCACTCAGCCCAGACCACCTCCACATGTGGGTCGGATGACGTGATCTCAATGTGTCCAGGTGGTAATGCTAATTGATTACTTTTTGATGTTTTACAAGTTGATTAACGAGAAGATTGTCTACGTCACTGGCGTCGTTCTGTAAATCACCTAGTTTAGGTTGAACGCTGCAGCAGCTTGACTCTCTCCGCTCTGTATCTCCTGCACGTCTGATATTTAAATTCCGTCCACTGTTGCATTCATTGTAAGTAGGTCTGGGTGTCAGCAAAATACAGTATTTTTAAATGCAGCCCACTTCATTCTTCTGTTCATGGTAATAAATTCAGCCCATGCTTTTAAATTGAATGTGAGAATTTCTCATTCAGAGCAAATAGCAGGTGAATTAAGTTTAACATCTTTTTTTTTTTTGCCTCAGCTGCCGTATTTGTTGAAAAGCTTGAGATTAGAGTAATATCGCATTTTGTGTGAGTGGGGGAGAATGGTTGACAGCCCAGTATTGATACTCCTTCAATTCTTCATCCCCAGTTTTTTCCTCCCTGCCAAGAAGCAATCCTGGCTCGCTCCCCAGTGACACAGAGCGATCAAGAGTCAGTCGATATCTTTGATCGGGATTTCACTCTTTCTGGTACAAAGCCACTTAAAGAGTTCGTCTCTGCAGGATCTTACATTTAGAGATTGTGTTCTCGTACATGAAGGACGCTCGTCTGAATGCTACAGACTAACAAATACGTACGTACTTGAGGCTGAAGGCAGTGTTTTAAAACTAAAACGAACCAATCAAATGTTTTTACTCCTTGTCAGGGATAGTCTCACCTGAAACGTGACCATTTACATACTTGGTGTAAACAGGAAGCGGAAAATACTGTGGACGAGGAACAGTAATTCCATGTCTGCTGAGAGTCGCATGTTCAAGTCACATGTACCTGGTCCCATGTTCCGTTCCTTTCCGATAGGTAGTCATGCGTTACCCAAGTGGTTGATGATGACATTTACGTCATAAGGACTTAAGCCGCCCCCGGCAGACTAGATGACACACAAACTATGAATTCTCCTCCCCTGCTGCTATTCCAGTTGTGACTGATAAGAAACAGGAAGTGAGTATGGGTGACGCAGCCATTGTTTCCAAATTTTCCCCCGGCCAGACATGAACGCTGCTCTGCTCTAAAACAAAGCTGGCTAAATTTCTTAAAAAATGTAAACGTGGAAAGGAGACGCAAGTGTAGCAACAGTGACTCATTTTAAATCTGAGGCTTGGCAGCGTAGAGGCAGCCTAAATGTCTCTGCAGCCTGGGGTGTGATAAGTGTCCTGGCTGCTTGTTTGGCCAATGTCTCAGTCTGCTTCCAGGTCTTTGTACGATAGGCCAATGTGTACCAAAAACAATCCAGCAGGAAACCCCAAACAATGGCCGCGAGGGCCGTTTTCTTCCCCCTCACTCCCAGCCACTGCGCTTGTCTCCCTCCCCTGTAGGGAGGCCGCTGGGTCTCTCTCTCTCTCTCTCTCTCCCGGGAGTGTTTTTGATGCTTTGACCATCCAAGATGTGAACGAGGCCGAACAAAGATAGAGAGGAAGTGAGGACTCAAGAGAAAAAGGGCAGGGGTTTTATTTGTTCATGGAATTACGAGAATGGGGGAAAGATGTAGGGGATGACGAGACGGGAGTGTTCATGTAAGAGGCAGAAATGGGTTCATACAGAAGTCAAAGTTATTGTAAAATTGATTTTCAGAAGGTTAAAAGCACTTCACTCAACCCACCTCGGTTTCTTTTCCCTTCCAGCGTTTCTTGCAGTCCACTCTCAAAGACTGATTTATCCCCAGATTTACTTAATGTAATAAGATATCGTCGTGTGAATGCATTGCTTCCAGTTTCTAACCAGCACTGATGAAGGATCCCAATGTAAATGGATGAATATGTGAAAAAACACCCAGTTTTCACAATGTTACTGGAGGAAACAATAAAAAACTTCCTGGATTAGAAGAAAACGTGTCACAAGCATTCGAACAATTACGCTCCCAGGCCTCATCTGGTTGTCTTCGTAAATTCCTGTTTAGTTCAATACTTTACTTAAAGATTTTTCCGGCTGATATCAGTTGATTTACAGAACTTTCCCTGTATGTTTTTTTTACTGTGTTCAGACACTTTCTCTCCTCAAATTAGTTTCTGTAACTATAAATAACTACCGTAGAAACTGCGATTCCACCCGAGCAGATAATCGAACTCCTGCAACCCTCACTCGTCACGTTTAACTGTGTTCCCAGATGAATCTTCTCAGTTGCCCTCAGAGTTTTCGGTTTTTCCTCGGTGTACTGTGACTTCGAGGAATGTCACAGCCCAAAGATGTGCCAGACCACATGGTCCGGTATAACGCGGTCCTGCGAAACCCATTCTGGCAGTTTGTTTTCAAGGACGTCAAGTGCTCAGAATACTACCCATCATACTCTTCGTCTTCAGGACGAGGTAGCTGTGTCAGTGGGAGAAAATTACAGTCTGACTGATTTCCCCTCAGTGCATCGGGAATCAGAATAGAGAGCCGAGACTCGGGCTGAATAGGAACAGGAATGAGTGCGTTGGAAGAGTGAGGGAAAGATGATGGGGATAAGTGGAGGGCAGGACGAGAGAGAGCGGGTCAGGACGAGAGAAGTCGGTGTGAGAGTCACTGAGGACATGGGAGGAGACAGGGATGGTCTGGCGAGGACACCGGCGAAAGTGCTGATGGTGGCAGGACACACTGCTTTTCTTTTTTCTGTCTGTGCAAGAGATAGCGAGAGATTCAGGGAGGGTAAGGTTTGTGTGTGTGTGTG